TGATCCTCAGCATTATAAAAAAGAAAGAAAGAAATGTCAGTTTCTATCCAGCCTCCTATTTACAAATAGTGTCTGTTACTGCTCCCTGCTCTGCTCCTGGTCCACCCTCCATCCATCTCCCACTTTCATGACTCCCGTGTGTGTATGTGGCAGTGGGTGCGCACTCAGTTGTTCTGGGGCCCTGTGACTGGGGTGAAATACCGGCCTAGACCTCTCTCTGCTAGCCAAAGAAGCTAGGCCCTGCCCTTCTTCATCAGTCTTCCCAGCTCTACTTGGTGTGTACACCACTTCACCCAGGACAGGAAAGATTTTCTTTTCTTCTTTCTTTTTTTGGGGTGTGTGGGGGATGGCTTCCTATAAGGACTTAACTCTCAAGCACTTCTGAAGGCCGGCCCATGCCTTTTCTTCCTCCAGCTGGTGTCGTCTGAGCATCTGTGGTGTAGCAGAGGCTATGGTGGGTGTCAGGGGGATGGCAGTGAGCACAGCAGTGTGCCCTCCTAGTGCAGCCCCCACCCAAGCCACATCTCCAGGCACAGGTCTTAAAATGCATGGCCCTGTGATGGTGTGGTCACTGATGAAATGTGACCCAGTGTATTTGTTGAAAACGATTTCTCTCTCTTCCATGCTATAATAAACAATTTTTTTTTTTAAAAAAAATAACTTTCACAGAGCCTTGTTGGAAGGAGAAAGCAATCCGGAGATACTGATCTGGACTAAGAACATTGAAGACATGCCACAAGGTAAATACTAGAAACTGTGTTTGCTAACACTGCTATGTGAAAATGCTTCCTACCTGAGATGCCCACTCCATAGAGGGAGGAGGGTTCAACTTATCTAGAAGGAGAGGGTTTAGGAAAACAAACTTGTTTGTTTCCCAGACAACAAATAGTTCATCCTACCTTTAAGTATCGAGGAGATTTTTATTTGAATGGGACATAATTTAAACTACCCATGTGAATCAGAAAGACCTTGGAAGTACTCACTGGACTTATCTGCTTGTGTCGACAATATTTTGAGGTACTTGCTAGCTGAGGAGCAGTGCCTGATGCAGGGTAATAAGGGTGTGCATTTGTTTATTATATCCTTAGGAGGGGCATGTTTTCTTTTTCCAGACCAAACAGCTATGGCTGTAATTAACATACAAAATGACTACTTTGGGTGGCATGCAGCCAGTACTCTGGAAACTGTAACCCTACCAGGACATCAATACTACCCTTCCACCTTAGGTTGGAGTGGGCAAGTCCAGAAGGTGTCCAATCTTAGTTTGGGCCCAAAGCTTCTATAGATCAGGGCTTTCTTTCTTCAGTAGGTCTGGCACAGGGAGCTTAATACTCCCATTTGAAGGACCTTTAAAACCCAAAAGATATCTTTTAAATGAAACATTTAAGCCTGCTAAAGAGTAAAAGAGACTCTGGCTAAGCAATGGCAGGTTAAAAGACACATGGAATGCTCAGCATAAAGTCTTCCTTGGTGTCCAGAGGAGACTGTCTCCAGGCCACCTATTCATAACCAAGTCTGCAGGTGCTCAAGTTCCTTGTCTAAAACATTATAGGATTTGTATGTCCTCCTACAGACTTCAAATCACCTCTAGACTACTTATGGTATGTAGCACAATGTGCGTGCCATGTAAATTGCTCTCACACTGCAATACTTGGGGGGAGAATGACAAGAAAACAGTCTGCATGTGTTCAGTATAGATACATTACTTGAAATAGTTTTGATCTTTAGTTAACTGAGTGTGTGAGCATAGAGCCCATAGATTGGGCACCTTCGGACTCGTCACCCACAAGGTCCAGCATGTGCCTTCCTCAACGTAGTCTATGTTGTCATTGCTTCTGTTAGCCACTTCTCAGATTTGGCAGCTCCGTGGTTTCAGCCTCAGAACTTTGGGTCTAGTCATCCATGACTGGAAGGGATCGTTCTTAGGTAACAGCCAGCAAGCTTGTGTCCTCATTTTGAGAGTAAGTCTGAAAAAAAAAATAATGAGATCCATGCAAGTGGCTGTTGACTGGCCTGCCTGCCATCAATTAGCAACTGACTTTTAGAAAATAGGAATTGTTCACCCACCAGATTTCAATGTTTACTAAAACATTAACTTGCGGCTATCCATATCTGGAAGTCTAATACATAATCTGAAGTTAGAAGACAGAAATAAGCTAGGCGTTGGTGGCGCATGCCTTTAATCCCAGCACTCGGGAGGCAGAGGCAGGCGGATCTCTGTGAGTTTGATGCCAGCCTGATCTCCAGAGCGAGGGCCAGGATAGGCTCCAAAGCTACACAGAGAAACCCTGTCTCGAAAAACAAACAAACAAACAAACAAAAAGACAGAAATAAAGGGCCCAGGACCAAACTGGGAGGAGTAACATTCCAAGGGTGGGACTTGCTGATATTTTTTGCTAGCCACGCATGACTTTAGAGTAGGAAAAAAGAAGGTAGGTAGGTACTCTGTTAACTTGATTTGTTCATCCATGGTTCTTCAGGCTTCTTGAACAGTATGCCTACTTCACATTTATAAACTAAATTCTCTTAATGTGTCGGTATTATGCTAAAGGAAGATGCTGTTGGATAAAGGTGCCTGGCTGTGAGTCAGCCCTTATGCTCTTAAGTAGTTGTGTTTCCTGCATAGTAGCTCCTCATGAACTATTTATGGAATAAACCTGAGCATGGTTGCCTAGTAAACTGATCAATACTTATTAGTGCACTTAGGAACCTTTTACAATGTGCCCTGAAATAATGTTGGCTGCTTCCTATGACAACAGAAACCAAAAACTAGCCTGTGAGGTTCCCTATCTCTTATTGACCTTGGGAGTTTGTCTTCTGGGGTTTCTAGGGTAGGATCAGTATATTAACCTGAAAAAGAAATCTCTGTAAACAATGTCCCAGCCTAGTCTCTTTGCCTGTATCTTGGGATCCTGTCTCAGTAAGGCCTCAATGAGGGAGGGGTAGAGAGGTGTCCAGCCAGATGAGGTGTGGTGGACACTAAGAAACGCTCTAGGAGTGGATGGTGCTTTGGTCATATTCTAATTCTGTTATCACTCCGAAGAGCCAGTTACCCTGGTGGAGTTTGTGCACCTGAAGCCCTTAGGCTGACTCCAGGAGGGTGCCGTTAGGAACGGGGGGGGGGGGATTCTGACAACAGGTTTGTTTTTGAAACTATGCCTTGTCAACTATAAACATACAAGACAGCTTAGAAAATCTAAAGTCTTCAGTGCCTGTGGCCCAGCACAGGAACTGGTAGAACAGAGCGCCTGAGATAGAGCGTGTGCTGTTTGGCACCCAGTAACTATGCACCTTGTAATGATGGGGCTTTCCCTGCTGAAGTCAGTAAACTTGACTCAACAAAGTCAGAATTAATGATTCTGAAATACCATAATAGTGTGACATTTTAACCTCTGACCTCTCCGGCACACTGGGCACACTTTGTGTTCAGAACCCTGATGGTTCTCTTGAAGCTGAGGGAGTGGTCTCAGACCAGCGGCTGGAGAAGAATGTTAAGCAGTAGTGTCTGTGGAGTGGTATTTTATTGTGACAGGAGTTCTAAAACAACCAAAAGATAATGTTGAGAATAAAAGTGCTCTCTTGAAGAGATGCTTCCTGTAATAATAGTTTATTTTATATTTACATGGGCTTTGACCTATAGCAGCAGTGCTTTTATGATAAAAAAAAAAAAGATGCCTGTCATCTAAATGAATTGTTTGTTTGATTCCTACAGAGTCCAGAAGTGCGACCTATCACTATACCAACTCAGTTCTGCAGAGGAAAAATGAGAAAAATCTATTTCCAAAGCAAAAAACACGTTGGGCAGCTGAAAATCACAGCTCAGCTCTGTATTCTAATAGGCCATGGCACCTAGAATCACAGACAACCACAGCTGCTGGGAGTACTGCCAGAAGGGGGCTCCTGACTTCTGGGTATTCTTCCTCAGCTACAACCCTGCAGCAAAAATCTATTGAGAAAACTGTCAGCAACCAAGCCAGTCTTAGACCTGTTGCTCCAATCAGTGGCCTTCTAAGAAACACTGATGCTCAAGTGAAAACATTCCCTGATAGATCCAAAGTTGGAGGCACCAGGGACACACCCATACGGCCAGCCACAGAGTCCATTATTGCCAGAGAGTCACACAAAGATCATCGGGGCAATGTGGCGGCAGGTGCCACGAACAGCGCTCAGTCCAACGACAGAACTGTCATTTTGGGAAAGAAATTAGAAGTGAAAACCACTAGAGAACGAGAAAGGGACAGATCAGGTGTCATCAAATTAAAGCCAGAAGAGAAAATGTTTGATTCTAAAGAGAAGGGCTCAGAGGAAAGAAATCTGAGATGGGAAGAACTGACCAAGCTAGATAAAGACTCAAGAACGAGAGAAAGCCAGCAGAGGACAGACGAGCCCAAAGAGAAGAAATCACCAAAGGAAGGAGGTATGAAGGAAAGAGAAGTACCCATCAGTCTAGAAGTATCCCGGGGCAGCAGAACAGAAGTGTCCACAAGAGGCTTGCAGTCATCCGGAAGGAAGGATGCTGGAGACAGTCGGGGAGGAGGGACAGAAACAAAAGAGACCAAGTTTCGGTTGGATACCCAGGACACTGCCAGCTCCTTGCAAAGTGATTCTATGACAGAGACCATAGCAGACAGCATCGTCACCACCATCCTTAAGCAGTTCACCCAGTCTCCAGATGACGAGGAGAGTGCCAGCTCTTTGCCAGACACGAAGGTCACTTATGTGGATAGGAAAGAGCTCCCCGGCAGAGGGAAAAGCAAGACAGAAATCGTGGTGGAGTCTAAGCTGACAGAAGACGTTGATGTTTCTGATGAAGCTGGCCTGGAATACCTTTTAAGCAAGGATGTCAAGGAAGTAGGACTAAAGGGCAAGTCAGCTGAGAAGATGCTAAGTGAGATGATCAATGTTGGTCTGAAGGGAAGGGAGGGCAGAGCCAAAGTCGTAAATGTGGAGATCGTGGAAGAGCCCATGAGCTACACAGGTGGCGGGAAAACAGAGTTTCCTACCCCTTTCCAGGTGGAAGAAGTTGATGATGTGTCTCCCAGCCCCAAGGGGTTTGTTGGGGAAGAGGATGGTGATGGAGTAACCCATGCGGCATTCCCGATGCATCAAGATCAAAGGACCAAGCAGCCCCAGGGGAGCATCCCTCACGTGGAAGAAGTGATGGAGGCAGGTGACTCAGAGGGAGAGCAGAGTTACTTTGTGTCTACCCCAGATGAGCACCCTGGGGGACATGACAAAGAAGATGATGGTTCAGTGTATGGGCAAATCCACATAGAGGAAGAGTCCACCATCCGGTACTCGTGGCAAGATGAGATCGTGCAAGGGCCTTGGAGAAGGAAAACAAGAGGTGACACTGGGGAAGAGAAGCACGTGAAGGTCCTGGAGATTCCAGCGCCTTCGCTGGGTGGTGCCGTTGGTTCTGCTCACTTGAAGGAAGAAGCTAGTGGTGAATTGCATGCAGAACCCACGGTCATTGAGAAAGAGATCAAAATACCGCATGAATTCCATACCTCCATCAAGGGTGTCTTCTCCAGTGAGCCCCGGCACCAGATGATGGAGGTCATCGGGCAGCTGGAGGAAACCTTGCCTGAGCGCATGAAGGAGGAGCTGTCTGCTCTGACCAGGCAGGATCAAGGAGAGCCAGGGAGTGTCTCTGTGGATGTGAAAAAGGTTCAGAGCTCTGCCAGTGGTTCTGTGACCTTGATGGCTGAAGTCAACCTCTCCCAGACCGTGGATGCTGACCAGTTAGACCTGGAGGAGTTGAGCAGGGATGAAGCTAGGGAAATAGAGAGGGCTGTGGAGTCGGTGGTGAAAGAGAGCTTGACCAAGCGCTCCAGCCCAATGTCTAGAAGCCCGGACAGGGGAGATGGAGAGGAGGAGGTGCCTGCTGGGGGCATTCGCTTCAAAAGGTGGGCCACCAGGCAACTGTATAGCCCATCGGGTGAGAGAGATGACACTGGCTGGGCGCCTCACAGCTCAGATCAGCGTGTCACCCAGGGCCCAGTGTCGGCCACCTTGGAAGTCACCAGCCCGACGGGTTTTGCACAGTCTCATGTGCTGGAAGATATAAGCCAGTCTGTAAGACATGTTAAACTGGGCCCCACTGAGATGTGGGGGACTGAGCAGGTGTCCTCCGGAGGACCCACCGCACAGGTGGTAGAGGTAAGTGGGGACTTCAGCTCTGAGGGAACCAGCCGCTCTGTGAGGCACATCACCCTGGGTCCCCATCAAAGTCATGTGTCCACCGAAGTCACCCTCCGAGGTTCTGTGCCTACCTGGCGGGAAGCAGGAGACATAGGAGAGCCTGGCCCAGCAGTACTGTCTGCAGAAGCAGACATATCTGGGAACCACAGAGTGCCTGGCTCTGAGCAGTTTCACGCTGAAAAGGAAATTCGTTTTCTGGGGACAGCCCAGGCTGGTAGTAACTTTGCAGCTGAAGAGGCAGTGGGTACCCAGACTTTTGTTAGGCATCTCCAGTTAGACCCCAAAGAGGGGTTCAGAGAGGAAATCCAGTTCATAGCTCCCATCCCAGACAAAGTGGAGTGGGGGATAGAGGAGGACTCTGAGCACACCACGGTGTCTTTAGGCAGGAGTACCTCCATCCGGCACCAAACCTCCAAGTTAGAAACCCCACAGATGCGAGAATTTAGGGACTCAGAAGGCATGGTCCTTGTGGAGGGCTCAGCCGGTATGACACAGGCCACTCGAAGTTTCACCTCAGGTAGAGAAATCATCAGGAACAAAGAGCACACATTCCAGAAGGTCATTTCTGAGTCCCCTCTGGACAATGTAGGGGATACAGGAGCAGAGGTGACAGCAGCCATCAGCAGATCGTTTAGACACATTCAGATAGGCTCTACAGAGAAGGGACCCTCTGAACACACTGTCATCCATGGACCTATGTCTAAGACATTTGTACTCGATGGTTCAGTGGCCTCCCCTGAGCTAGGTGGGTTAGCTGGTGACAGTAGCACACTAAGCCACATTGCACCAGGGCCCAAAGAAACTTCATTTACTTTTCAGATGGATGTGAGTAACACAAGGGCGATCCGCAGCTGGACCCGAGACGCAGGGTCAGAAGTGGAAGCTCGCAGTGTGTCTGACCATGGTGGCTGGAGAACTGCTCACAATAGGAATGAGCAGGTAGTCAGCATGAGCTCTCAGGCCTCCACTGGGGATGGACACCAGACCCGTGGAGAGAGAGGCACGGAGCAGGCTGGATTTGACAAGACCGTGCCGCTGCAGAGAATGGTAGACCAGAGGTCGGTGACTGCAGACGAGAAGAAAGTGGCTCTTGTCTATCTAGACAATGAGGAGGAGGAGGAGGGCGATGGATGGTTTTGATGAGCGGAGCTGTCTTGTCTTAAATGGCACTTTGGAAACATATCAATATGCAAAGCCTTTAACATACCAATATACAAAGCCTCTACTAATCGTATGGAGGAGGGGGAGGCTGGTTATCAATACCTTTATTTAGAGAACCCTAGGCAGAGCCAGTTTGCTTTAGAATTCACTTGTAAAGGTTTTTAATTGGCTCTGGCCTTTTAAGGCTTTGAGATTTTGCATTTGAGTTAGGACTTTTGCAGACACTTCATCTTTTTAGTCCTTTCTCTAAAGCTTTCTCTCCACATGTGGAGAGAGTTTGTACGAGTTTTGCACCAGGTCACAGGCGTGGCTTACTGCTATTCTACTATTTATCTATAAGCAAGACACCTTAATATTAACATTAACCAGATTAAAAATAACATACTTAAGGGTAGGTTTTGTTTGCATGTGCTAACATCAAACGGTAAACTAACACTGGAAAGGAAAATACATGATGTTTCTCTTTCCTAAGTCTTTTCAAAAAGAAATTATAGATGCACTGGAGAGATGACTCAGTAGTGATTAAGAGCCTGTACTGTTTTTTGCAGAGGACCTGAGTTCAGTTCCCAGCACCCACATCAGGCAGCTTGCAACCATCTGTAACTCCTGTTCCAGGGGATCCGATGTCTTTTCTGGCCTCTGTCAGCACCTGCACTCACACACACACACACACACACACACACACACACACACAGGAACAGAAATAAATCTTAGCTGGGCAGGACAGTGGTAGCACATGCCTTTAATTCCAACACTCTGTGAGTTCGAGGCCAGCCTGATCTACAGAGGGAGTTCCAGGACAGTCAAGGCCACACAGAGAAACTCTGTCTCCTAAACAGAAAAATATTATAGAAAGTAAGCAAGACTGTATGTTTGGAAAAAAAAGTCTACTAGATGATTCAAGAAGTTACATATAAGAGATTTAAAATTATTTTCAAGTTGAATGAATTGCTTTCTATGTACAGAACTTTTAAAAAGAGGGCTTAGAGTTATTCATGGGAAGCACAGCTGCGGTCTTGTTGATGCTCCAGATCCATGTGACTGTCCTGATGGTACAGATTTGCCAGCATGGCCACAGGCATGGCCAGCTGAGGAGGAGACTTGCTCACGGATCGTTTTGGGTCACTGCAGTACTAGGCTATGAGTAGTAGAACACCTTTTGTCCTGACTTAAGCACTGGAGTAGTTACCTCCTGCTAGAGTAGCAGTTCTCAACATGGGAGTTGAATGACCCTTTCACAGGGGTTGCCTAAGACCATTGGAAAAGTAGCAACACAACATAGCACAACATGAGGAACTGTATTAAAGGGTCACAGCATTAGGAAGGTTGAGAACCACTGGGCTAAGGGCTTTGTTCTGAGATTCTCTGTGCTATAACCTTATGACCAGAACATTCGCTCTCATTGGTAAGAGGCAGCCATGTAGGCAGTGAAGGGAGTACGGATGTTTAGACTGCAGCTGGACTGGCAAATTGGTCCTGGTAGGAACACAGAAGCACAAAGTAGCTAGTGCTTCCCAAGTAAGTCACTCTAAACTCACCTCTCATGGGCTGGATGTCTTTCTGAGTGACGGATGAAAAAAAAAAGCAGCAGCCATATGCAAACCTCAGAAAAGCTTTTTGCACTTTGAACAGAAATCATAGGGGTAGGGGGTTTAAACGTTTAGGGGAAGGAACTAGGAGTTCCGCAAGCAACCCAGCATTGAGGCATCCAGGACAGGCTCTGTCAGATGACAAAGGCCACATGGACTGCAGATCATGGACCCGAAACTGTACACCACTGGGTTTAATAGGATGAGTGTGTTCATTTGGAATTATTCTTTTACACATGGTTATTGTTTTAAAACTCCCATGGCTGAAGATTCAGCATCACATAAAAATGGCCTCTACAGTGCAGCATGTCTGAGCCATGCTTTTGAACCCAGGCCACAGACCTGCCTGTAAGGCACTGACGAAGAAGGATCCGAGGTGATGACATCTTCAGGGAGGGAAGGATGGTACAGGAGGGCCTCCCTCCGGTGTGTCTCACAGGACACATCTCCCCTGTGGTTCCAGCAGCTGGGCAAAGGAGGGCGAGTGTTTTTCATTGCTAAGTGGAAGAGAAATGCAGCATGGTTTAGGATGCATTTCAAACACCTTGCATCAGGTGGGGTACAGGAAGGAAGCAGATTTGAATGGAAGGTTGAAGCCTTTGTTACCCATAAAGATGAACTCATGGTCATCTGCCTGATACAGAAGTTCCTGCCTTGGCCTGCCATTTCTAATACTGTCAGAGATGTGCTGACGTGTTTTTACTGTAATCAGCAAGTCTGGGTGATTTATTAGAACGTGGTCAGGGTGACAGCTTCGGTATAATGACACGAGACAGAGTGTCAAGGTGGAGTTTATTATGAGTCTAAGTGGGCTTAGCTGGATGACATTGTCTTAGTCCATGAACTTTGTTCATGGATGCTGGTATGAGCATGTTATAAATATAGCCACTTCTACTGGTTTTGAAAAAAATAAACGTCTTAGCATTAAATATTAATTTTCATTGCTAAGTTGGAATGCACAGCAAGGCAATGTTCTGTTTGACGTATTTACCAGAACGAGGAGTCCTTAGCTGCCATCCATTACTAGCTCCCCGGGTCACTAAGGGCAGGGCTTTTAGCCTTGATGTTGTAGCAGGTTACCCCAAAGCTCCCTGAGGTTTTTGAAACCAGTCACTCTGGAGTCAAATCAATGCTGTGGTAGGGCAGGGTGGGTAGGGACACACCCAGTCTCTCCCAGTTTGTTATTGTTGAGACTACAAGACACTGAATGTCTCTCAGCTTTCCACTGGTTGTTTTGATAGCTTATTTAAAGTGTTTATTTGGAATTATCTAAGAAGCTTATTTTGCTAACCTCCTGTTCCCTACAAAGGAAACTGTCACAAGAATGTGTAGAAATAAAGATCTGAGGGAAAAAATAAACCAAAAATGTATTGTTCCTAAAGAGAATGTTTTCCAGCCGGTTTCCCCGTGGTTCTTTCAGACTCTAAAGAAAGCCAACCTGGGTTTCTGTCCATGTTTCAATGGTAACCCTGAGTTATTAGAAAGATCACATATGGAAATTTCCAGTTCTCCGATTCCTCCTGAGATGAGAACCCTGTACTATAGGCATAAACTAGAAAGCATACACTAACAACTAGCTTGTATCCGAGTGGAGATGTGACAGTTAGTGCTAAAATGTCACCACAGCCTGGAAGATGGTGCCAGCAGGATGAGACAGCCATCCATTCTACCCAGGATGGAGGAGGGTGCCAAGATACAGCTACTCAGCATTCAAACCAGCATTGTCTTGGGTGGGAGCCGAACAGCTGGCCACTCTAAGCAGTCCATAAGGTTGCTCATGGCCATTTCTCAGTATCATGCAAGAAAAACAAAATCTAGTAGCTTAAAACAAGGGAGTGAGTGATTGTCTGTTGTCTGTAGCCTAGCCTTTATCAACAAAAATAAAAACACAAATAGCTGTACTTCTCACTTGTGGGAGCTAATGGCATCAGTGGGAGACAGTGATAAAGTCACTGTATTAGTTACTTTTCTGTTGCTGTGATTAAAAAAACAATGACCCAAAGCAACCTGAGGAGGAAAAGATTTACTTGACTTCCATGCATAGAGCATAGACCATCATTGAGGGAAGCCAAGGTGGGAACTCAAGCAGCACAGGAACCTGGAGGCAGGAACTGAAGCAGACACTGTGGAAGAATGCTACTTACTGGTTTGCTGTTCATGACTTGCTCAGCCTGCTTTCTTATACAATGCTGGACTACCTGCCCAGGGGCGGCATCAGCCACATCCATTATTAATCAAGGAAATCCCCACAGACAAGCCTGCAGATTAACTCATGGAGATGTCTTCTTAACTTGGATTCCCTCTTCCATATGACCCCTCCCACCCCCGCCAAATTGACAAAAACAAAAAGAAAACAAGACAAATAACAAACTAACCAGCACCCTCACTGTTTACACTGATAAATTCACTCTTCTTGGGACAAGCACTCACATTTAAAGAGGGGTTTGTTTTCTGTGATTTTTAAAATACATCCCAAGAAACTCAGAAAGGATGAAGTTACAGATTAGATACCACCTGTCTTTGGGTGTGTTGCTGCATGACTTCGGCAACACATCCTGAGTTCTGGAAGTCTGAGAATACACGCCAAGGATGCTAATGGATTTGCTTCTGGTAGGTAAGTACTCGCTTCCTGGCTTGTAGACAGCCAGCCACCTTGCAGCTGTTTTCATGGAGGAGGGAGAGTGATGGCTTCTCTTGGTTCTCTATAAGGATACTGATCCTACCTTCCAGCCCCCCAACCCCTGATGCCACAGTCCATTTCCAGATGTCATTACTGGAGGGGGCTAAGGCTTCAGACATCAAATTTCAGGAACAAGAAAGCCCGTGGCAGCCTGTTTTTAGAATGCTTTCCCCCAATGGCTTTGTTGAAACACATGTCTTCAGTTAGATAGGACATTCTACAGTGACAACAAATAATTTTCTACCTTGCTGCCATCCCATAGGCCTGAGTCTGGGAGAATGGGTGTTAGCAAGGATGGTCTGCCTGCCACACTGCTGAGGAAGACAAAGGGCCGGCCTCTACCCTGTTGTGGCTGTTTTCCCCTTAGGTTCTCAAAGTATCATTCTGAACAAATTGACATGACACAAAAGGGTTGTGCTCCAATCCTATTTCCCTCTTAGCAACAACCTGCAGCCTCATTGGCTTGAGCCATGGTATAAGAGAAAGAGGGGAAGAAGGGACAACCTGCCTGGACCAGCACTCACCCCTGTGAGTGTTCGATCGACCTTGCCCCCAGCACCATCTCTTTACAGCCAGGAGAAAGAGGCTCACCTAACTGTAGTGTCTGCTGGGGAGAAAGAAGGCCACCGTGGACATGGCACTACAGACTGTGCAGGCTCTAGTAGCAGTTGCATGTCCTGCCTGGGATAGTGACCACAGGAGACAAGGAAGTAGAGTATCAGGGTTCCTCCAAATCATTCCATGAGAGCCTCGGCACCAACACCCAGACCCCTGAACCCTAGTCTAGTCTCTCGTCTGTCACAACTGCTACACTGCCATTTACTAATTGTGCTACAGTGTTTGATTATCTAGCGACACATTGGGTTACAAGCTAGAGAGGATGGGCTTATATGTGTCCTGTTTACTGCTTTAACCTCAGTTTTTCGCACAGGCCTAATAATATACTAGGTGCTCAGAAAAATGTAGCTGAGTTCATTAACAAAGAGATGCACCTTCACTAACATGCCTTTTCAGGTATCAGGTGACCCCTGGAGTGGTCTTCATTTTATTTGCTTGCAGTTCTGGAGTTTTTTCATTGCTGAGATCAAATACTTGACAAGAAACAAGAAGGGCTTATTTTGGCTTTCAGTTTGAGGAGATACAGCCTATCATGGCAATGAAGGCAGGGTAGCAGGAATAGGAGGTGCTTGGTCACACTGTATCCCCACAGTCAGGAAGCAAAGAGTAGACAGTGTGTGGGGGTAGGGCTGAGAAACTTAAAGGCTCACCTCCACTGAACTACTTCCTCTAGCTAGGTATCACCTCAAAGCCCACCCGAACCTGGGACGAAATGTTCAAACACATAACGTTGTAGGGGATATTTCACATTCAAGCCACATCATTTTGTTCCTGCCTCCACAGGCCCATGGTTTTCTCATAATGCAAAATGCATGCAGTCCAAGAAGGAATACATACTTCCAACATTAATAACACTGAGTAAGCTTTCCCACTCCATAAGGGAGGGATGGGACCTTCATAAGGGAAGATCAGACCAAAGCAAGATCAAAACCCAGTAGGACAAATACCAAACCCTTTAGCCCTGTACAGCCAAGGCTCACAATGGAACCACCTGGGCTCTTAAGAGCTTGGGTATGCCTGCCTCTGCAGTTCTGCAGCCTGAAACACACATAGCCCCTCATAGGACAGTGTGACTCTGTGCAGATTCCTTCAGCAGACATCACATGCGTGGTGCTGGCATGTCCAATGGCTTCAGTGCCACTTCCATGACTCCCTCACTCACATTTTGCGTCTTTAAAACCAGCACCAGGTGGATAATGCCGTCATGTTCTGCTGCCACCTTGAGATGGAGTAGGGCCCCTGGGACCACAGTTGCCCAGGCCTCTAGTCCCAGGTATTTGGTTCAAAGAAGGGATCCCTAATTTCTCCATCAAGGCTTACTTAACTCCTTTCAAATACATTTTCACTTCCCAGAATTGGAACCCTCATTGGGTTCTGCCCTCAGGATAGCTGGGTTTGTCCCAGTGCAGAGTGCTAGATTTCCCCTTAAAGGGGCCGCCAATCCCTTTAACAACCAAGCTGCTTTTGTACCCACCTCATCTCCAATTGGAAATTCATCCTCCTCCCCACCAAATGCCACATCCTTCATGTCTTCTGCTGGACTTGTTGCGCTCTCTGGATATAGCAGTAACTATATCACATCTGAATGCTCTCCTAGCTAGAATTTCACCCACCAAACAGACTAGTCCATTACTTTTAAATTTAGATTTATGTGAGTTCTTGGAACATGGACCAAATGCAGAAAGAGTCTTTCTATGATGTAGAGCAAATGGCCTTTAGTCCAGGTCCTTACAGAGTCCTTATTCTCCCCTATTGTCAGGACTTGTCCTAGCATTCTGGTCTTCGAGAATCCCATCAGAATGGTCTATTAATATCTGCTTTCAGCATTCTATGGACGCTCTTGCTCTATTTCCAAATTTTTCCATATTCTTCCTGCAAATCAATTCCAAACACCCGAGAACCACAGTCAGGCTTACCACAGCAGTGGACCTCCTCCCACTACCTGTCTTCCATGTTATTTTTCTCATTGCTACAATCAAACAACCAACAAGAAGCAAAAGGATTTATTACGGCTTTTAGATCGAAGGTAAGTGTGTGCCCGTGTGTGTGTGTGTGTGTGTGTGTGTGTGTGTGTGTGTGTGCGTGTGCGTGCGCGCGCGCGCGTGCACAGGCATGGGAGTGCATGTGTGCCTGTGTATACACACACATACACACATGCATACACGCCATGGTGGAGGAGGCAGAATGGTGGATGCACCAGGCAGCTTGTCACACTGAGTCTGCAGTCAGGAAGCAGAGAGTAGATAGGAAGTGGGACTCAGGCTAAGAAACCTCAAGACCCACCTCCAACTTCATCCACTTCATCCAACAAGACCCCTGCCTCAAGACCTCACAGCAGTGGGACCGAGCGCTCAAACACATGAGGCTATGAGGGGCATTTTACTTTCAAACCATAACAGGCTTCTCGGAGCCCAGGCAGGCACTCTGTCACGGAGCCGCATCCCCAGCTTCAGTCTTCATCTTAAACATACACAAAAAAATGACACTAGCACAAGTTTCTCTTTATTGGCATTTTCTTCTCAGTTCCTATTACTTTCCTATGCTATCTATCACTACCCTGGAGGCAGCTCTGGGTCGTGCAGGTGCTCAGCCTGCAGTCAGGGGCAGTCTCTTCCTGCAGGAAGCTCCGACTTCCTAAGAGTCTTTCAGGCACAGTTGAGATGGCAGGGGAAATTCTCCTTGGTGAGAGAAATGATCAAAGTGACACAAATAAAAAATAACCAAAGCACCAGATCACCCGAAGGGCGTCCACAGTTGAGATGCGGAAGATTCATGGTGATGCTGCTGTATGCTGGAGCAAACAGCCTTAAAAATCTGCAGTGACTGCTAAATGCCACCTCCTGGTTGGAGAGAGGTTTGTTCAGCATCCTAAAAGCAATGCCAAGTCTTTCTCAGAGCTTTCTTTGGGGCACATGGGGGGGATCAGTCAGCCACATTGTGCTTGGCCTTCCCTGGTATGGTGCACAATGCCATCTTGGCTTTCAGAGATTGCCTTGGCTTCGTGGCAGCCTCGGAGTTTCTGTGGAGAAAAAGAAGATGGGTGAGTATGGCCCCTCAGATCACCACAATTCCCGTCAGCCTTAGCTGCTCTGAAGCAGCCTCAGGAGAGGATGCAGGTGAGGAAGAATCATGGCACAGGAGCATCAACACGAGGTGTGTTTCTCCTCTCTTGATGCCTTGTAGCCAGCTTCCCTGAGCCGAGGCAGTCAGGTCTGAGGTAAGTCAGTGGCAGGGCGAGAGTGGAGAAGAATGTCAGGTTCTGGTGGGAGGCTTTGTTGGCCCACTTACACTGCCCTTAAAGGGGGATGGTTCCCTTTGAGGCTGCTCTATGTCTCCAGTGAAGCCACTGCTGTCATTTCCTGATGGAGACCTGACCCTCAGACCATAGGCTTTCAGGGAATGCCTGCTCTGTGAATGGGAGCCCTCCCAGATAGTGCCAAGCTTCTCTCTCTGCTGAGAAAAGACACAGGGCCAGTCTTCAAGCTGCAGTCCCTACCCATCCCTACTCCCATCCCACCCACCCCACTCCCCCCGCCCCGTGCCTTGTCAGGAGCTGAGGTAAGCTCAAGGCAGAGCTCTGGAAGCAAGCCCCCATGCCCCTGGCAGGCAGGTAAACCCTCAGGGCTAGTCTGTGTGAGGATGGAAGCCAGAGTGTTTCAACATTCTTAAAGAATGAATTCCTTTCTAATATTAGGACAAGGAAGATGTTTTAAGCTGGCTTCTCAGAGGACTTATCCTTACACTTAATTATATAAGCTGTGGGAAGCCACTGAGACACCCACCTTCCAGTACCAGCCTCGGGTTCCGGCTGGTGAAGGGATATGATATTCAGAGACATGTAAGGGAAGCTGACTCACTTGGACAGTGTGTCTATGGTCTGCTGGGTGGCCAGGGTCCTCTTGTCCTGCGATCCATTCAAGAACGTCTCAATCTGAACACACTGCAGAACACCAAGGAATCATCATGAGGTTGTGGAAATGTCACAGGGACATAAAGTCCCCTTTGAACTGGAGAAAAGAATGCTTCATTCATAGACTCATGCTGTGATGGAATCAGTGCCCTCTGGGGATTCCTCTAGGGACAGCCTGACCTTTAAGTTGGACCTTTTAGGGATCCAGGATGTAGACCTACAGTGTGAGCACTACTTTAGAACCCTCTGTGTGCAAGCATGTGTTTAAAAAGTAATATTTTTAAAACAGCAAGGCAAGTATATTGGCTTACTTTGGCCTAATTTCCTTCTTTTGCTTAAGTTTTGGCATTTTATTGTTTATATCCAGTCAGGACAAAGTTGAAGAAGGGAAAAGGAATAAAGAAATTCTAAAAAATGGTCATGTCAGTGTGAAGAATGAGGTGGAGGAATTTGCTTTGATGACCTTCTGTAAAGCTACGGTGATGAAGGCAGCATGTCTTTCATCCTGGGATGTCAAGTAGACTAAAGGGAAAGGCAGGTACTTGGTGGTCAATGGACTATCCTTGCATGGCCAGTGATGAAAAGGAGGGCTACTCAATAGATGGCATTAGAACCATACTTTTGCAAACGAAAGAAAATAGATTTTAGCTCCTACAAAATAGAAAAATCATTCCAGAAACATTTAAGAGTTAAATGTGCAACACAGAACTTGGAGGTTTCCTATCTTGAGACAAGTTCCCGACACAAACGGCTGAAAAAAAGTAAGTGGCTGTATGAACATGAATGACCAACAGCTTTTTGCAGTGAAGTTCAACCATGAGCAAAGCACAAGGAGTGTGTGTGTGTGTGTGTGTGTGTGTGGTGTGTGTGTGTGTGTGTGTGTGTGTGTGTGTGTGTGTGTGTGTGTGTATGTATGTATGTATATAGTGTGTGTGGGTGTGGTAAGTGTATGTAGTGTGTGTGTGGTATGTGTATGTTGTGTGTGTGTATGGTGTATGTGTATGGTGTGTGTGTGTGTGTGTGTGTGTGTGTGTGTGTGTATGTGTGTGTGTGTGTGGTATCTGCAGTGAATCTTCCCAAGAGTTATCATTCAGAAACCATGAAGAATACCCAAGAAGTAACGAGGAACAACAGCAACAACCTCCTGGTAGGAGAGTCATCAAAAGATAGAAAGAGTTATTCACGGAGTTGAAGCTGACCAACGAGCTGGCTCTGCCTCACTAATATCTGGAAGTGCAAACAAAAAATAAAGAGCACACTCTGTTTAAAAAAAATGGAAAAAATTATACTCTAGCACCATGGAGATGATGGCAAAGACGAAATAACAGGAAGTATTACAAAGTCTTGTACATCGATGGTGAGCATTTAAGTTGGTATAAGACTCTGCAGATATTTGTGCAATATTTAATAAAGTTTAAGTCAGAGTTAAGTAAAGAGTGATATACCTGTTAATTTCTAATGAGAGAAGAAATGGAGTAATCCAGATGGGAGAGGAGGTTGGGAGGAACTTGGAGGAGTAGAGGAAGGGAAACCTGTAATCAGGACATATTACATGAGGAAAAAAAGTCTGTCTTCAATAAAAGAAAAAATAAAAATGCATAATATTTTATATACACAATAAAAATAACTACATATAAAAGTAGAAAATCAAATTAAAATTTAAAAAGTAAAAAACAAAAATGATTTGCAAATAAGTGCATGAAGCCTGAGCCATGAAAAACCAACCATGGGCATAGGGACAATGTCAGATGCAAAGCAGTAGTTATCCGGGGACTGGAGAGGTCCAGAGGACTTCATCTGAACTGCTTGTCTTTTGTTTCTTACTTTGACTCATGAGTTCAAAGGCATTTGTCTCATATCACAAATGCTTTCCTGCATGTCTGAACTATCTCTTACTACATTTTAAAGACTGAAGTTTTCTCCCTGGCTAAGTTGCTCAAATCAGAAAGAAAGGAATACAGACTTGGAGACATCTTCCACTTGCATTTGTGAACCATTTTTAGGTGTTTAAGAAAACAAAGATGCACACAGGCCAAATACTTTGTCTTTAGAGGCTGCGGAAGATCCCAGGGCTGCCTGAGTTTGTGTTTCCATGTGAGGATGGAGCATTTGACTCTGGTCTTGTGGAGGATAGAAATAACAGACATGAAGATGATGGAATTTTGTTTTTTAAACAGCAGAAACCGTTCCCTGTTTCTTGGTTGAATTAACTACATGAAAAAGTATTAGCTCTTTCTCCTATTACATTTAGTTCCCATCAAATTCTGCTAATGCAGGGATCTTAGCCCCTGCGTGCAACACAGCACAGGGGCCTCAGCCTGGCCTTGGCAATAGGTTTCTCTTTCCAGAGACATTTCCAGGGTCACTTTAACCCATAGATACACCACATGATCTTACAACTTCAGGAACCTTGAGGGAGAGCCATTGTTTGGGGTGGCGGTGTCGGGATGGGGTGGGGTGAGGTGGATAGGACATGCTTTTGACAGTTGTGATAACTCAGTGTAGGAGGCAGCACACAGATGCCTAAGTGGGTCTCCCCTTTGCTTACTGCACACAGCAGGGCAGAGAGAGGAGTCACTGAGAGATATAGACAGTGGGTCCAAGGGGCAAGCATGTGTCCCCTCCTCCCTGCCAAGCAGCCTGATGTCTCACTTAGGGTCTCGCTCTTCCTACCAGAACCCAGTTTCTCTCTCTCCTTCATGAGCAGAAAGACCTGCACTAGTTTTGAGAGAGCAGGACTGATTTTAAAGGCACCCAGGTACCGGTTTACATATTTAAGAGTGCTCCAATGACACAGGCTGAAGCCAGCGTGGCTTGGTGTTGAGCTCATTTGCTGTAGCATTGGGATTTTACTGACAACATAACAAGTCTTTGAGACAGCCTGGTGAGGTCTCAGTTCACTCTGATGAACAGATGGCTTCTAGAAGCTCTACAACACGGGTGGGATTTCCATCCTACCTCTTTGGTGATTGAAGGGTCTTCTCCCTGGCCCCTAATTCCCTAGGGAAGAGACAATGGGGTAAATAGTCACAAATTCCCAGGAAGGAGAAGGTAAGTGATAAGATTCAGGCAAATTCCCCCAGGCTCTACCACGGGAGGGGTCCCTTCCTTCTGGACCTTCTGTTCACATCACTTTGTCTGGCAGCATTAAATTGGGGCTGGGAGTAGAGTTGGGAGAGGGGATGAGTTTGGGACTCTGTTCAACAAATAAGTCCTCTCCAAAATGCTTCTCTTGTTGGTAGAAACAGACACCCTCACAAAAGACATCTGCTTATAATTCTAGGTGTGAGATGCAAAGGGATGTCAAATAGGAGACAGGGGTCACCAACCTTAGCCCCCTTCCTAGTTGTATTGATGATTCCAGTACCCAAAGAGGCAGGGCAGAAACTTGGGAAGTAAAAGCTAGTCTGTCCATATACATCAACAGATATTTTTCCTATTTGTAACATCCCAGGTTGGCCTCAAAATCCCTCTGTAGGGTAGGATGACCTTGAAATTCTGATCATCCAGCTTGGGCTGCTGATGTAGTCAATTGATAAAGTACTTGCCTATCATGTATCAAGCCCTGGGTTCAGTCCCCAGCACCATATGAACTGAGTGGAATGGTACATGCCTGTAATCCCAACACTATAGGAGAATTAGACATCAAGGTCATCCTTGGCTACATATGAAGTTGTAGGGAGATACCGTAACCACACCTCCTAAGGGCTGGCTACAGATGTGCCTGACCATGCCTGTCAAGGTGTGGTCAAGGTGATGTAAGGGTGACTTGTGATGGGCTCTTAAGCAACCGTGAGCACATGGAACAGCCTCTTCTTCTGCTGCCCCTACTCCCTGGCCTCGCTGCTCTGGCTTGCATTTGGCTGAATAAAGGTATCTTGAATCTACACGCATTCTCCTTCATGAAGTGTGAGGCCAGAGTGGGCTACCTGAGGCCATCTCAAAAAAACAAAAAAAGTAAAACTAACATAATATATTAGGTCAATAACAACAAAATAAAACATGACAAACCAATGCATTAAAAAAGAAATAAAAGCATTAATGTAAGAGTAAAGAAGTGAACCCATACTTTAATTTATAGCAGTATGATTTATATATTAAATAACACAATAATATAATGATTTGAAATAGTTTTTAAGTAGAAGAAAAATGGGAAAATTTCCAGGTTTTTTTTATACTGTATAGTGAGAATTCTAATTGGTCTTACTAAAAAACCCAAGTTAGACATAGGGGTAAATGCTGAAAGATCAGAGAAGCAGAGCCACTAGTTCTTACCTCTACCGAATCCTCAGACCCAAGGGACGATTCTGTCCCTAGGAATCCTCATACGAATGCAATGAGTTCCTGTCTCCTCTACCTTCTATTCCTCTCTTTACCCAGCTATATCCCTTTCTGTTTCCACCTCCCAAGTACTGGGATTAAAGGTGTGAGCCACCACTATCTCTGTTTCTCCTTTAGACTGGGTCAATCTCATGTAGACCAAGGTGGCCTTGAACTCCCAGACATCTGCCTGCCTCTACCTCTTGAGTTCTGGGATTAAAGGTGTGTGCCTCCACTGCCTGGCCTCTGTGGCTAATAACTGGTGACTAGCACCATACTCTGATCTTCAGGAAAGCTTTATTTGCTAAAGCACAAACAAAATATCACCACAATACTTTTTTTTTATTTTCCAAATTTCTTCCAATTATAACCTTTTAAAGATAAAGATAAAACCTTTAAATTATCTGTCCTAATAGCATAGTGATATTTCATATTTCATATTTACTGACACCAACTGGTGAAAGTCATCCTTTTAAAACAAAAAAAGTCTGAAAACAACTTTATAAATCTAAACTCTAAACTTAGCCTTCTCCAGAGATGATGATGTCTGAAGACTGGAATGCTGAAGACCCATCATTTCTCCCTCCCATCTGTCCATGCTGACATCAACAGGGGCAAGTTTATCAGCCTAATCCTTCACCCAGGCACCGACAACACAAACCAAAAGCCCCTAAAGAAGGTGACCTCACATGAAATTTATCTTCTGCTATTAGAGTATCAACACTGTTCCTTGACAGCTAACCACTCCCCAACCCCCACCCTTCCACCCCAACCCCTGTGCTCTTTTTGACAATGTTGCCTTTACCCCAGGGGCCTTTAACTGGCTATGTAGCAAAGAATGCTCTTAAGCTTCTGATCCTCTTGCCTCTACCTCCTGAGTGCTGAGATGACAGTTTATGTGGTACTGGGGATGCTAGGCAAGTGTTCTACCAATTGAGCCATGGCCCCATTAATGTTCTGAGAATTGTTGAGGAAATTTAAAAAACAATGGCAGCATAAAAATACAGCAGTGATGGCTGAGGGGTGATCCCATTGGGGTGACACTCAGTGGGCTGTGCACCAAAGGACGTCTTAAGAGAATGGAATAACTTATTACAGCTTCTACTAGAAGCTGTCTGAATAGCTGCATATTTATCTAAGGGATACAAATTCAATTCTTCAATGTTCTGCTTCACTTAGCTGAATTTTCTTAAACATTTGTGTGTGTGTGTGTGTGTGTGTGTGTGTGTGTGTGTGTGAAATCAGTGTGGTATTTTGTTAAAAACAAACTATGACAGAGTTAAAGTCCATACATGTTCATTGAAGCCCTGGAGACATCTGACTGAGCCTTCAAGTCTTGATATTAGATCATTCTCCACTGGAATAAAGGTGTCCTGTGCTCTGCTGCAACAAGAGGCCAATGAACCAGCCACAAATGGCATTTCTCAAGTTTCTAAAGTAAACAGCAAGCTGGTATTGTACGCATCCAGTGGAATTTTTAGGAAGCCATTGTGTTGCTATTATTCTCTAGTTTATATAAAACAGGGATTGCAAGAGTCACGATCTGACCTGTTTCAAGTCTTCCTTAAATACCAGAGAGCTGTTCTTCCCTGGCAAGAGATGCAGGGAACACTTGCTTTCTCTGTACCCGCAGCAGTCCTCAAAGGGACCAAGTTCGTCTTGCTCACACGGACCTATCACAGTCTCTGGCATGTAAGTAAACAAATGGATGATTAAACAACTCAACAGGCAGATGAGTTAGAGAAAGTTCGTGTGTGTGTGTGTGTGTGTGTGTGTGTGTGTGTGTGTGTGTATGCAAGCGTGCACATGTGAGTATGATTGTGGGTGTGCAAGTGCATGTGTGCATGTGTGCACGTGTGAGTGAAGCCCGGAGGTTGACATAACATGTCTTCCTCTAGCATTCTGCACCTTTCATTTTTGACACAGGGTCTAGCTTGGCTAGCCAGTAGGTTCCAGGGATATTCCAGTCTCTGTGTCCCCAGTGCTGGGATGACAGGTGTGTACCACCACACCTAAATTTTTCGGTGGGTGCTTGGGATCTAAACTCAGGCCCTCATACTTACAGGGCAAGCACTTTACTGACTGAGCCATCTCTCCAGTCCCTTACATGGCACTTTGAGATGTGGTTGGCTTTGGTGACCTGACAGGTGCTGAATCCTCCAATGTGAGCAGCATTGGGAAACTTCAGACTCCCAATGAGTGGAAATTTCTCCCAGTGAGTGTGGGGGGTAGAAGATGCTTGCTGTTCACTACTGGTGTTTTCTCCCAGGAGTGACTCACAGAGCAAGGGAAATTAAGAGATATCTTGAACCTGGAAGTCAACTTTCCTAAGTGGCCCAGGAAGCTGAGATGGAGCCACCAGCCTGTTGCCTTCCTACCTGTGTCTCCTCTGTGTTTTGAGCTAATATCCCTCCCGGTGAAGATAGGAGGTGGCTTATGATGTGGGGTTAGCTAATCTACATGCTGGCTGTAAAAGACAAAACTCACATATGAAGGCTCACAAGGAAATCTATGTGGGAGGTAATTTCGGAAAATAGGCAGCTATCACCCAGGGGCATTCTGCCGCCCGGGGTACTGCTGCAGAAGCAGACTGGCAGTTTCTCTGGTGTCTCCCATCATTCCTTACCCTCTGGCTGAGGGTCTGGGAGTTATATCATCATTTCCATTGGGGAATTCAGATAGCGAAAATGCTGATGGAACACAGCCTCTTCATTAACAGAGATGTACAACCAAAGCTCCGACTAAGGAGTCATTTAAATGACAAGTTACATGACCCCATGATAGAAAATCGAGAAAGACAAGTTTGTCACTCCTGGTAAGAGGCCAAGACAAGCTTGTCATACTATTAGCAGTATTTTCCTCATATGAAATGAAAAGCAAAGCCAAAGAAAGGGAAATGTTTTAAACCACTGTAATGCTGAGGATCTGTGACCACTGTTCCCCATCCTGCGTGTGTTCTGTACATATTTGTGTGTGAAGGAGGGAGGTGTTCATGCATGGAGGCCAAAGGTCAATGTTGGGTCTGTCCCTCAATCACTGTCCACTTACTTTTTGAGATAGGTTTCTCACTGAATCTGGAGCTCACAGATTGCCTAGAATTGCTGGTCAGAGACCACAAGGAGTATTCTGTCTTTGTGCCTTAAGGTTTCTGTTGCTGTGATAAAACACTGACTAAATGCAACTTGGGAAGGAAAGGGTTTAATTTCACTTCACAGCTGACATTGTCCAGGACAATCAGGGCAAGGACTCAAGGCAGGGACCTGGAAGCAGTAACTGATGCAGAGGCCGTGGAGGGGTGCTGCTTACTGGCTTGTTCACCATGGCTTGCTCAGCCTGCTTTCTTACAGCACCCAGCCAAGTGGTGGCACCACCCACAGTGAGCTGGACCCTCCCCCATCAATTATCAATGGAGAAGATTGATAATTACAGGCTTGCTCATGGGCCAGTCCAGCTGGGGCATTTCCTCAATTGATGCTCTGTCTTTTTCCAAAGGACTCTAAGTTGTGTCAAGCTGACAGAGAACTAGCCAGCATGCTCCAGAACTGGGGCTACAGGTCTAAGTCATCTGTAATTTTATATGGGTGCTGGGATCTGACTTCAGGTCCTCATGCCTAGGCAGCTCACTTCACTAGCTGAGTGAGCTTTCTAGGCTGCACCCAAATCACTGCATTTTACACATA